CTTGGTGAAAGAGCACTTCCTTTTGAAATATTTTTCAAGGCCGTGAAAAGCCATATTTTTGCACCTCCTTAGCAAAGAGCGCTCTTTTATTAATCGTGCAGTCCTCCAAAGAAAGACGCAAGGGGCAAGCCCATTTTTCCCAGTTGGGCCACTTGAGCAGGATGGAAAAACGGAACCCGGAAAGCGGAGACAACCGTGTCAGAAAGAGAAATCCGAAAGAAATTCTCAAGCCGCCTGGCCATGAGGTAGAAAAACAGAAGCCGCTTTTGTCGCAGAGAGACACTTTGAAGTCAGCGCTCGGCACGTTACGCTGGCCTGATCTGAGAGGGGCGAAACGGAGCCGGCAGGCTCGCTGGATTTCCGAGAGAGGCATGTTCCCAGATTTTTGAAAAGGGCCTTCGGAGAAAACAGATTGATTTTTGCAGGGTTTAATGGCCGCTTCTCACAATGGGAGACGGTGCAGCGGTGCGGCACGCTTCTTTTGTTCGGCCTGGGAGCGGTTTCAATGGATCAAAAGTGTGGGAAAGGCCAGAAGAACAACCAGGGGGTTAATAGGGGCTATTGTCCCCAGCGGCCTCCGAGGGCGGGGGGTCAACGTCATAAAGACCGCGTCCCTCGGGGGAGCCCCGGAAAGAGGGTGCGGGAAAAGGTGGCGGGGGGAAGCGGGTGAGGTCAAAGGGGCTTTCTCCAAAGGCTTAAAGCAAGCTAGCACCGCCTCCAGATGACTTGGACTACTGCTCCCATCAGCCTGGGTTGGCCGGGACAGGATGATGGGGTTTGCATTGCAAAAGCAAGCAAACCAACCCCCAAACCCTCTTTGTACCTATTTTTAAGGAATTCTCTATCTTATATATCTTATCATCCTATCCTATCCTATCCTATCCATTTTGTTATTTATTGTTTGATTTGATTTAATTTAATTTAATCTAATCTAATCTAATCTAATCTAATCTAATCTAATCTAATCTAATCTAATCTAATCTAATCTAATCTAATCTAATCTAATCTAATCTAATCTAATCTAATCTAATCTAATCTAATCTAATCTAATCTAATCTAATCTAATCTAATCTAATCTAATCTAATCTAATCTAATCTAATCTAATCTAATCTAATTTAACCTTCCCTTCCCTTCCCTCC